AAGTCCGAATTTGGGTAGGGCAATACTTCGATTCGCAGCCTCAAGAGCTCTTCAGCAAAGGGATCCGAGATTTGAAAGAAAAGTGGAGAAAGACTATTACCCACAACAGAGAATATCCTTCTAGATTAAAGCGCATTGTTTTCTTTTTGTAGAGAAAAATTTTGTTTTTCATTAAAAAAGTATTTTCATTCCGGACAACCTAATAATTTTATTTTTTTCTGGGTCTGTTTAAAACTTTAAAAATCTGATAACCCGGGTCATGATTGTTTTTTTCTCGAAAACTTTCAGAGACATTACATGTTTTGAATTCTTATTTGACTGGAAACTATCGCCGTCAAACTGCTAGTTGAAATCCGATCAGCCCGATCGGAGGAGCCAGAGGAGGAGATCGAACTTTTATCAGATCAATTAATGGAAATCTTGTATTTTGATGACAAAGATAGTCATACAGATTAATTTTTTTGATTTTTCGATCAGTCCGATTGGATGTCATTCAATGATTATTCAATGAGCCTTACCAAGAGCGGGGTTGGTGAATGTAAACTAACGGTTTGACAATAGTAGTTTTCTTAAATCAATGCCTTTGAGAAAACGCATTACTCGACCGGAAGACACTCTACCCACCAAAGCAGATGCGGAACTCCAAAACCCTTGAAATCGCTGAAGTGTATCCACGCTGATCTCAAGGAGTCCCGGTTGAGTCGGGTCTGACCCGAAGCTGACGCCACGTTGATCCATTAGAGCAACTTTGATCCTTCCAAGAGCATTGGCCAGCGCTGGAATTAATTTCGTTGATAGATGTTCCGAATTTCGGGCATGAAAGTACCAGGATGCTTTATTATTTGCGTTGAACCTGAATACCGGAAAGTGTTCTCTAGATCTAGCTTTATTGCAGGCTTGAGCCACAGAAAAGTTCTTGGGCCTGACTTTTGGCTTACCGGTCCTAAATTGCTGGACTAGGCTAGAAAATGGTGATTGGCTAGCTTTGCACCAGGATAGATGCGAAGTCGGTCCTTATCGTTATTTAATCCCATAAACTACCTGTCATGATCAACCAAACGACGAGCACCTCGAGAACTTCGCGAATTTTCGAGACGTTCATCAATACCTAAAATTAAGTTTAAATCTAAATGAATTCCAGACATCTTGAAATAAACTTCGAAGTTTAAAAATGTGTGATGAAAGACTTGGATTTGATTTAGATTTCAAAAGTCTTCGAAAAGAAAACTTTTGATTTTGCTGAATGACTAAAAGCAGCAAATATTACCTTTTAAATAGTAAATGAATAACACCAAAAGTTATTGTATCAATTTTAAAAATGTGTTTGGCTAGATTGTATTCTGAAGAGAAGTTGTATCCCATCATTCCTACTTCTCGCCCCACCCATCCCTAAATAACCGAAAAAATCCCTCAAAAATTGCATAATGGTCCGATGATTGGAAACTTAAGCTAGCCAAGTCCAAATCCTACCATTCCTCTGGTAGAAAATCCTTTTCCAGTAAAATGAACAATACCTCTATACCCAAGCTTGATGCGGGTAATTCAATGTTAACATTCAAGTCTACCGCAAATGTTTTACGAAATATTAGGTTGATGCATAAGTCTTTTCGTTCCTTTTCGTCTGCCGTTTCAAGCCAACAAATGCACCAATTAAACTACGGTTGATTTCATTAGAAAAACCAATTATTTTTCTGCAAAATAACATTAAAACGGGTTTAAAAATATTTTATGCCTGGATTTTCTTGAGAGTATGAAGTCGGGTAGTCAAAAAGGTTGGGCTAACTCGATGATGCGGTTTAGACACCTTAGCTAAAGAAAACCTATCTTCGTGTCAATAGATAAAAGATAGAGAAAAAAAGGTTGATATTTCGCCAAAATTTCAGAGAAATTCATTCAGCCAATTTTTCCGTAGAGTTCTTATAGATTTTTACGAGAAAGGCGTTTTTCACTCTCGAATTTGCTTGAAAGTGAACCGAAATTGATTTAAAAAGATGGAAATTGAACAAAAAAACACTTTTTTTATAGAGCAAACTATAGATTAATTGGTGAATTTGTTACTTTTTAACAGAAGTCCGAAAAAAACGAAAAGACTGATGCATCAACCTATTATATAAGGCCTATTTCATGGCCGCCGCTTGGTCATTGATTCGGTACAATGCTTTAAAATCCTGAAATGCAATCACTTAGACACATCTCTGTTTAACGATTTCCTTAAAATCTCTCCGAACACAAGGCGTGGCTCACTTCTTTTACGTAATTCTCCTTTTAAGTGGAAAATAGGGCCCCAATCTGGATTATGGAATTCTCTACCGAATCAGTTTATGCCTATCCGGTGCTAATTTTGAGGTTGCCTTAGACTCTGATGCCTTAGACTGATTTGTCGGATATGTTTATTTAATCAATGCTCTATTTATCAGGCTTTTATGTTCTTTGCAGTCCTGTGAGTTTCAGTTTTAGTTTTTTACACTTTTATTCATATTTGAATAAAGTCTGATTATTATTATATAAAAATTTTTTAGTAGGTCCATCATTACCTAAAATCGAGTTTAAATGTGAACAAAATGGGAACTGAGCCTTGAAAGACACTCGCAAAAGATTCAAAAGATTCAATTTTTGATAGATTCAAAAGTAAAAAGATCTTTGCACTTGGAAGATTTGAAAAGCCTTGGCTTTGCTGAATGAGCCAATCCATCAAATGTTTCCTCCTAAATGGTAAATGAAAACACCAAATGTTATTTTATCCATTAAAAAATGTGTTTTACTTGTAAATATTGTATCCTCAAAAGAAATGGGCAAACGTGATAAAGTAAGAAAGAACACTGATTGTAGTCATTCTATTAGGTTGGGTACAAATTCTTGATAATACTTTTTGTTTTTTGTTTCATCAAAGAGCAAACCATAGCTTTTTATGAATTTTTTGATATGATAATCAGATTTGCATTGCCTAGCTTTTGGCAAAGTTTGATCCCGATCTAATGGCTGGGCTTAAGCAGAAGGCTTTAGCTGAAACCAGTCGATCCTGCTCTAGGCCACATCGCACAACAAGGGTTTGCGATTTCTCAAAGTGTTTTTGAGAACTTGTGTTTTTATGGAACTTTGGAAACCTTGTATTTGGGTATTTGATTGTCTATTAGGTAGCAAGCTTCTATCCTGTTTTGAAAAATGAAAGTTGAGCTGTGAACAAAAGAGTGAAAAAAGTGACTTGCAAAATACACTTCTTAGAAAATTCTCCAGAAAAGAATCCAATCCAAAATAACCAGATGAACCTTGAGACATTTCAAAACCTGATTTTTTTGAGTTTGAGCAATTTTTTGATAATTTGAAATGATGTCAAAGTTTCTCGAAAAATTACTAGATATATATGTTTTTATTCAAATTAACTTCTTCAAAGTATTAGGTTGGCGGGAAAATAATGCGAATTTTTAACTTGTGCTCTTGGGAAAGTAATGGCAGACAAACAGAGAAAACCTCGATAGTAACAGAGAAGCAGAGTGTGTTTGCTTACACAATCATAATATTATTCGGAAATATTTGTTCATTTGTTATCAAAAAATGACGAAACAAAAATTCCTTATTCGAGCTGCTTTACTCTATGACTTTAGACTTGGAAAATCTGCTCGTGAATCGCATAATTCTATTTCAAAGGCATATGGCAAAGGTAGTATTAGCGAAAGCCAATGTTATCGATGGTTTGAGCCATTTCAAAGTGGAAACGAGAGCCTAGAAGATGAGCATCACGAAGGACGTGCTCGAAAGCTGGAGGAGTCTCAACTTTTGCAAATTATTGAAGAAGATTCCACTTGCACCACCCGGTGATTGGTTCAGCTGCGGTTTCAACTGCGGTTCCGATATTGCGTCCACCCAGCCACAAATTGCACGAGATTGCAAGTCAACTGATGTGATTGATTTCTTAGTGTTTTAGTAACTTTCAAGATGAGTAGTTTTCTTCATATCGAAATCATCGATTCAAATTGATGTTCAAATGTGGTCACATTTGATCTGTCGGCTTCAAGTCGTTACGTTGGCGGCCGTTATCAGCTCGGTATCGACTGTCTGAATGCTTCTCGCCCTACCAATAGATCTGCAAACTCCGTTACTGATCGATTTTTTCTCTACAATTTTCTTTAATTTCTAATTGATCGATTCAAATTGATGTCCAAATGTGGTCACACACATGATTCCTTAGCTTTCATTGAACTGAACTTCTAATGTCTATTTCTTTTCTTTTCTCGTCTTGTTGTACTTATAAGTAAACGAATAACTCTCTAATTTATAATCTTAAAAAGTTGAGTTTATATTGGATTTCGTACGCTCTTATCGTCTTGTTTATATAATTAAGTGTAGAGTTACAGTCGTCTAATCTAATCAAGCCAACGCTAATTGGACCCTTAATGAGCTACCGTAAATACTGTAATAGTACCCCACCCCCATAATGACGGTGCGGAGTGTTGCATAGTCTGACTTTGAACGCGTTTTTCTCGACACTGGCTTATGCTACAATGCGCGCTTAGGTATCAAAAAATAGCCCTGAATTTCAGCTATTTTTTCATACCAAAGACGCATTTTTTGAAAGTACGGGTGCTTTGCAAAAAATGAGATACTAAAAAACTTTTGCGACTACGCGACTGTACGAGGGGGGTGGGGTACTATTACAGTATTTACGGTAGTTTAAGTTTACTGTGATGGTTACAAAAATATTTTTCGATTAGCCAATTCTTATTATTTTAATATTCAGAAAGCTCTATTGTTTTCTATAAACAGAGTAAACAAAAGCTGCTAAAAGTTGCCCCAAGAGCCTTACGCAATTCAACCTTCGGGAAAGGGGAAAATTCAGAATTCCCCAATTTCTCCTCATATTCTCCTAAAGAGATCCGAAGAATGGTTTTTATATTATTTGATTATTTCTATATAGTCATTGATTTTATTTATATTTTGTATTTTATTACTATTCCTATTTTTTTTATTTAAACCTATTTTGACGCTAATCAGAAATCCAGAAGATGTACGAGACGATGGTGGCCGGGGCCGATATGCGAAGTGACTCTTTGGGTTTTAAATTTGAAATTAGAAAATTGAAAAAGTTTAAACTACATAGTTTACTAAGTTCAGTCAATCGTTAAGCCAGTAGAATTGTTCATTGATATAAAAAAGTTTTAGAACGAAGTGGAGAACGACGAAGCGGAAAATCACAATGCTAATGAACGTCCAAACGGCTGGTGCTCCGATATCAATGTGAGCTCTAATTTGGAAAACTCAAAACCCTAACGGCTAGGCAACTTCTAGACAAAATCAATATCTTTTAGAATAATCCTGAAGTCTTGGCGATAGATGGTAATCATACTCGAGCGACTTCAGAGGATGAAGATGAAAATCGGGTTTTCAATGTACGTCAGAACGGGCCTGTCCCGGTGTTGAATGTGAGTTTTTGAGTTCTGGAACAAAAAACAATGCATATATGTATATATTTGGAAAACCCAAAGCATACTACTATATATATCATACTAGAATTTCAGAATGCTCTAGAGGCTCCATAATATATTTATATTAACGAGAACAACGGGCCTTTCGATGAATGCCCAAATAATTCGGTTCCAGTATTGAATGTGAGTTTTCGTCTTAATAAAATGATTTTTTGATGTAAGTTGATTTCCAGACTATACCAATACTTTTTAGGATAGTCCAGAAGCGCCACTAACCGGCGAAGTGCAATTTCCAGTGCTCCCGGTGGTCAATGATGAAAACGAAGTCACTGATGGACGTCCAACATTTGCCTTGGGTGTAAGTTTTAAGTTTCAATATAAAAGTAAGATCAAGAGACTTTGGTTTGAAATAGTAGGCTGAAAACCAAGGATTTGGCTTTGTATTATTGCCAGATAGTTAAAAGTAATTTTTAGGATGAGCCGGAGGTCCCAGTGATCGATGACGGCAATGAGCGCTCAAATGCTACAGGGAATCAACCAACTGAAAACGAGCCCGACCAGTCAGCTGCCAATGAACCGGTTAGTGAAAATTCTTACTTACTGAGAACATCGTTTGTTGTTTGTGCTGCCAATAAATCTCAAATACAAACTAATTAAAAGTCCCTATTGACTTTTGACTTAACTTGCGGAACTAAAGTAAGCTCAAAACAAAATTAGGTTTTTAAAAACCATTCACTGAGATTTTTTAAATAGACAGTTTTGCAAATGAATTTCAAATTTACTGTTTTCAGCCTGCAGTCGGCAATGTGGAAAATGGTTTGATCGATCAAGACGTGGTCTTCGATTTCTCTGTTCTTGATGGAGACTTGCCGTCAAAAAGACCCCCGATATGGGGTGAGTTCTTGAGTGATTTTATTGGAGTTCTTGACTTGAGAGATATTTCATAGAACCAGCACGAAAAGCCTATGTGCACTCCAAATAGACGAGAAACAAGAAACCGAAACATGAACATTGATTGGGAGAATTATTATATATGTTACATCCTAATCCGATCCGGACGTCCGAAACCGACCACAAGATAATCAATGGCCGGATTCGGACGTCCGGATCAGATCCGGATGCCTGGTCGGATTCGGACGTAACATATATATATTGCCACAAATCTTTTCATTTCGGCTCTTTTTGTTTGATTGAGTCAACTTGAGAGGCTTTCTCTGTTTGGCAATGATGACCGGTAGGATTTTTACAAAAGAAAGGAGGAGAGTTGGAATACACAGTACCCGATACAGTTTACAATTCTTTCTGGCAAGCTAAAAAGTTTTGCCTTAATAGCGGATCAGATTCAAACACCCTGGCCGCTCTACGTGACTCTCTCGCTCGTCCAGGAGTGCTTTTTCTCTGACCTCTATCCTATCAGTTACTAATAAGATGAATTTCAGATATGGATGAGAGCTTCCGTAGTGCTTTGGAGTATTTTGTTGATGAGCCCACGGAGCCGGCCTCTGATCTTTCCGGTAAAACTTTCCGAGGAACTTTCCAAGGAAAAGTAAGCGGGAAAACATAGTCGTGTTATCGGAAAGATCGGAAAGATTGCTGTAAAGATCAGAGACGCCGCCGGGACTTTTCCCGGAGCGTAGCATACGGGCTCTGGTAGTAGTCATCCATGTCGTCCCACTATTTACACAAACGGGATGAGTTTTTGTGTGTATGAATCTAATATAAACACCAATAATCACGTTTTTTTGTGCTGCTTGCAGGGATGAGGTTGTTTTTGCGAAAAATTTCCCTTTCCCTGCAATAACAATAAAATTAGTATTATTCGCTCCGTAGAAAGCAATTATAGGGCTTTTCAAATATTGACTTTGTCGCGAAAAATGGGGGCACAACGAAAACTATTTAAGAGGTTTTGTGCGTTGCTATTTTCATGGAAACATATTTACTCTCTAGAATTAAAATGATGCTCTTCATAGCTACAGTATTACTCGGATTTATTGAATTGGTAAATATTTGCAGTTTTTTATTGAGTTTTGAGCGATTTTGTACAGTTAATTAGGAGTTGACTCCCTCTGGAGTAAGGGAGATGCATTGTGGTGTAATGGTTAGTACAGTTGCCCGGTAAGCGGAAGGTCGCGGGTTCGAGACCCGGCGACGCATTATTTGCCCTAGTTCCAACTTCCAGAAAATTTTTGTCTAATTAGACGCCAATTAATAGTGGCTAAAGGAAATGGAGCCGTATTTGAATTTAGTATGCTTAACTTAAACAAGAATTCCTTAGATCGATGCCACTTGCCCCACATTGCCGTCGACGATTTCTCCGATGATGTCCCTTGGTGGTGGGCATTGTTTTACAAAAAGCCTAACAAAATTTTCCTTTACTAAAAGAGATTCTCCCAAATTTTTTACGCCTTCCCAAATTCCTCTCTTTCAGTTTCGTTTCCCAGTTGTGCCTCCAACACGACCTGTTACAACTATTTGGGTATTGATGAGTGCTTTCCACAATTGTGCGAACCGTTGCCCGCTGGAGTGTCCACTCAAATGTTTGGTAAGAGGATTTACTTACAAAATTGATCCATATAAGTTTAAATTTGACGCTTCTTAGTGTCCTGCCTTTTTTCAGAGGATATTTAGTCTAACTTCCATTTAGCAAACGTGCCTTATCAGCTTGTCTTTTCAGCAAACGTGTTTGGTCTTCCGTGTACACTCTATGGCTCGACATTTGTATGTTATAGTTCACAAGGAATGAATGGATGCTATCAAGTGGGCGATTGAGTTGATACCTTTTTCTCGGTTTGGTTCTACAACAAAAATCACTTATTTTTATTAGACTTAGAGGGAAAAAAATTGAATTCGGCTCCGTAACAGTCGTTCGGATAATTATCCTGATCCAGATTATCCGAAAACTCTAAATAATTCCACTATCCGGAGTTTTCCGGATAAATATTCAGATTATCTGAAAATTCACCTGATCCGGAAGCCCTCTTTTTTCAAGACCCCAAATTCCATATGAATGTAATTCGAATATTAATCTCACAGCAAACTAGACTTGATAACGAGGCTTAACGAGCGGCTAAGCTTCGTTATTTGGCTTCAAGTTTGACCAGTGATAACAGCGCACTGGAATTTGCTAGTAATCTGAAACATTTTCTACCAGAAAGCCTAGATTATCAGCTTCCTTTTGATACCAAACATTCAACAAAAAACGAGATCTTAAAGAGGCCTCGTTAAGCGTAGTAATTTTAAGGTTTAATGTGATTTTTTGGTATCAAAATGAAGCCAATAATATTGGCTTTCTGATGAAAAAAGTTTCAGATTGCTAGCAACTTTCAGTGTGCCGCCATGACTGTCCAAATGGGAGCAACCCCAAAATATCGTTAGCCATGTCTACAGCAAACTATTAGTGTGTTTCAGACACAAGTCACAGCCAGCACCCCGATTTCCCAAATCTCCTCAAATAGCCCATCTACATGCCCCTCATTGCCGTCAACAGTTTCCCCGACAATGTTCGTCGCATGTGAGTGGTCGCAATTTTTAGTAGAAATCGTCTTTGTCGTTCAAAATACATGGTTTAGTAAACGTGAATTGTCCTTGGTGTTAGGTAAAACGCTGAAGAACCCCTATAATTTTGTGGTTTCAGTTGCTTCCCCTGGTAGCCTCGCGTGTCCAGCCGGTTCCACTTGTTATTCGGTAGTCGGAATCAATGGATGCTATTCAACGGGCACCTCAACCACCACCAAAAATTGCACAGATGCTAGTCCATCGTAAGTTTTAGGCAAAACTACCATAAAACTTGTAATACTTTTGAAAGAGTCAATTTTCATTGGTTTTATTTATGTACGATGCTTACAGGATTTGGCCGGTCAGGTCTAATCACCCGAAATTTGCCAAAAAAGTGCATCAAAATGTACATCAGTTATATAAAAGAAGAGGGAAAAACTTAGTTCAGCAAGAAATCAATCGTTTTCAGGTGCTCAATCTGGGCCAATTGTGGCTTTTGCAATGATTCAATTGTGGCCAGCGTCGACAAAGCAAAATATTGCATAAAAACGTGCAATCTTTGCATTTGAGGCTATTTCTTTTTAATTAACCCTATTTATTGAAGCATTTTCATGTGCAAATTGTGTGCTTGATAATAAGTAAGCTGTAAATAATCTAATAAACGTTCTCGCTCAAAGCACAAAAACCTGTTATCTGAACCGAGAGTCCGTATTTCCGTAATTGAGGAAAATCACTAAATTTTCGCATTTTCATTTATTGGCAAATCTCTTCTTGAAAACTTCATGATAAAATTTAGTTCACCAAGCGAGCAAGTACACGGGGCAAGCATCAACTCCCTTTTTTGCCCCATTTTTACCCATTGTTTGAAAAACAGTGGGACGATTTTGGAAATTAAGTACATCCCACGTCTATTCACACCTGGAAACGCTGTTTTCGCATATCAACGAGAAGCTTTTTTGCAAGAGGGATCGAACCCGGGCAAGAACTGTATAGGCTATCTTTGATACAAGGCTCTTACCCACCACACCACCTGCACACTTGTTTTTCAGAGTGAAAGGGATAGAGGCAGCCCGGAACTTAAGATGCTTATAACTTTTGCCAGCAAGATGTTTTGCCGATTTTGAAAGCAGATTCGGAATCGCAATGAAAAAACTGCTAGGTCTCATTACAAAAGGCCATTACAGAAGGCCTGTTGCACTTTTCTAGAAGGCGTCGACGATTTCGCGAAATGAGCCGAGAAATAGATAAATTTGCGGTGAAAACCCATCACAAATGTGCGACACTGAAGAACACTTAAGTGGGTGTTTTTGGGAGAGACGACGCAACTGCTTGTTCATTGTATCATTCATTCATTCACGCCCGTTCGGCGCTTATTTCCAAGCTCAATTCTTTCTGCAATCGTCGTCGACTTCTTTGTGAATTTATTTTGTGCTCATGTCATCAGCGTATGTTGCCATAATTTGTCTCGTCATTCATGCTTTCATCGGCTTTTACACCGTGCGGCTTTTTGCCCCACAAAATCAAATGTCTTGTCTAGAAATGACCCATTACGAGGTTACTGCATGGTTACCTCAGTTTTTCTCTTCCAATTCCAATTGCACAAAACTATTCTCATTGAAACACATAGGAAGAGATCTTGTAAACGTTTTATTTTTGTTTAAATTACTTCTTTCACTAATGATCAGCCAATATCGTGACCAACGCTGATACCCTCCGAAGCACCACCGACATCTAAAGGAAACGCTCGGCGCGACTAACGTCGCGCCAAGCGCCCCTCCGAGGCCCCTGCAACAATACCTTCACCGCGAGGTAACTCAAATTTGCATATTTCAACTCTATGCCTAAAAAGATTTAGAGCAAAAAATTTTGGAGCGGACAGGAATCGAACAGGCACCCTTTTGGGGCGATCGTTTTGGAGACGCGACGCTAACCACCTTGACCACGCCCCAAAAACCAAAATTGTAAAGACCTAAACCAATCTAAAACAAGTAGCAGCTTAAGCTTCAAGCTGAAGATGCCAGTCAGGGTTGGTGAGATATTGAGTGATACTTGTAAAAGTACAGCTGAATATCTTAAGCAGCCCTAGTTGTGAACCTGGGCCGTGTAACCGAAAAGGATTCCTTATGGCTGCAATTTGAATGTGGAATGGATGAATCTTCCTGAAAACTTTAAGGTTTGTTTGGATGAAAACGTAATTTTTGTGACTTTTTGGGTTATTCATTCTGTGTTTTGTTTTTTTTGTTAAATTGTTTTAATCGTTGAAGATTTGAATCGCAGTTTAAAGTTTTTACTTTTTGATTTCAATGGTATTGTTTGATTATATATCAATATCAATTTTTAATCAACTTGACGGGGCTCACTCCCCTCCACTTTCATTCGTTGATTCACCCATGTATATGAAAACAAAAATGAGCAGACATGCAAATAAGCAAAAACTTATGCTTATGAAGTGCAATTTTTCATTTCAAATCAATCTCATCAAATGATTTCTACCGTATTCCTATGTTCTCTATTTCTTTTTATTTTTTGCTTTGTTCCTTGTGAGGCTTGTCAACCCACAGCCCACAATTCTCCTCGTTTCTATGAAGTTATCGAAAAAACTGATGCATATTATTTCTTGAGGAATCAAGTTGTTAGTTTAAAGTAGAGATTTAATTTTAAAGTCTTGTATAGAGAATGGGAAGGCTCAAACGAGAGGTTGGACTTGAAACTGATCAACCAAAAGTAATCGAATCATCGAGTGAGTCGAGTGAGAATGAAGATATTGCACCAAAGGTAAGGAAAAACCATTTTGAAAAAGCAAATAATGTTCAGGGAAAACCGGTGTTATTGAGGGAACCCCGATACGAATTGGCTAATCTCGTGCTACTTAGCATTCTCGGTTTGTAAGCTTTCAAAAGTACTAAAGTTGATACCTTTACAATTTCTTTTCAAGTTTTTTTTTCCATGGAAACGAATTCTTTACCAAATTTTTTGCGTTTTAAAGGTCTTCATTTCACTTGAGCTTTTGAGAGAAAGTTCAAAGCTTGCCTCAACTCGTTAAAAACCCATTTTATATGAAATTTTCAATTACTGTTTTAAAGAAATCGCTGAACGGATCGTTTTCAAATTTTACAGACTTTTGCAACCAAAAGAGCTCTATCTTTTTTACTTTAGCACCAAAATAGGTTTGTATTGAAGAAAGTGTCCAAATTGCAATTCGGAGGAGTTTCGGAGCAAAAGTGCTCGACTTGTGCTCGACAAAAGTGCTTGGGTGCTCGATTTTGTGCCTTTGAAAATCCACAAAAACAACTACTTCAAAGAATTTCACAAAAGCCATTTTGCAGACAAACAATTAAGCTTTTTAATAGTTTAAATAGAAATTTTGTTGGTGGCGACATTGTTTTCAAAAGACTTTGAAAGAGAATTGTAAAGACTTATGCACAAACCTAATAGCAAAAAGTATTGGAAAAAATATCTCATCTCATTACAGGCAACAATAAAGTTAAAGCAAAGACAATATCAAGTGTATTTTCAGTGTTCATCGCCATCTTCACATTGATCGTTTCACTGAGAAAGAATCACAGCCGTTCTATTCACTCCACAATAAACCATGAATATAAATTGCTTCATCAAAGTCGACAATCAGCTAATGTATAAAAGAATTGTGCATAAATTATTACTGACTTGTCCTAAAACTGAAATGAAATGCTGAAGATTAAATTCTGATACCTGTCAAAGAAACTTTTTATCTTTTTATCTACATACAGTACTGGACAATGAAATATCATATTTAAAAAACGACCGTCACTTTCACGCGTCTGTAACTCCCTTGTCTTTACCGTATTTCTAAATATTAATATTACCATTGTGTAGCCCTTGAAAAGAGCTTTCAGAAAATATATAACACTAATAGTTTAGACTCAAAGACAAGGGAATTACAGACGCGCGAAAGTGACGATCGTTTTTCAAATATCATATTTTATTGTCCAGTACTGTACTCTACAACCACTTTGTAAAGAAGATTTGCTCGCTTTTGTACCTTTGAAAATCCACAACTACTTCCAAGAATTTCCCAAAAGCCATTTTGCAGAGAAACAACAAGGAAAAAATTAATATGAATCATTACCTACTGTAAAGTTCACAAAACACTTGTTAAAGTTATATTTTGTTTCATTGTTTATGTCTCAATAAATCATCGTTGATTCAACAGATGTTTTCTTTTGTCAAATAATTAAAATATCGATGGTTTCTCGAGCAAACATTTTGAATATTAGCCGTCAAAACATTTTTCCGAAAGCAGAAAGATTTTAGTTTATGATTGAGAATCGAATCGATGAAATTAAAAAAGAAAATGAGTTTTACAAAGTTTTCATTAGTTGATCATGTCAGCAAAGAGATTTACATCCGAATAAAAAGTTTATGCACTTCAAGAAAACATTTTATTGATGCATTAGGAGTTTTCTGACACAAAATCCAAACCATTTTTCGTCATTGTGTCGTTGAATCAATTGATTCATTGGAATTCCGTGCATTTAAGTAAAAACGTGGTCTCTTGCAATGGAAAGGCTACTCAAGGTAATCCACCAAGTACTTGCAATGATTCGATTTGGAGAAATCTATATGATTATAGTGATTATAATTAGACTTGCTTAACGGTAATTATTAGGCCCTTTTATTTTAATACATGCGATGCCACGCAGCGTAGCAGTCCATTTAATCCGCAAAAATGCCGCATTGACAACATATTCTGGCTACAAGGTCATTAACGCAATTTCATTTTCAATAAAGCAATGGCTCTGCTCAGCAATGGCTCTGCTTCCAGGCTCTGCTCGCTTTTATGACTATATGGTTGTGAATTTTTCTTCTTCAATATTTCCCCGAGTGGCTGAAGTGCTTTGAAATAATACTTCTGGCTTGCTTTTTATTGGTTCTTCGTTGAAAGATCTAAATATTGGGTTGGTGGGTATGATTTTGCACGTTTTTTTCTTTCTTTAGCTATCTTTTTCTTTAGTTAACAACTTCAAATCATCATAATTACTGTTATTTTGCATGGTTTGTGCCCATTTTACTGGTAGAAGTCGAATCTTCGTAGAAAATCTTCGGCTTTGACGAAAACCAATCTGTCAGCCATTTTTTGACCTCTTCTTTGGAAGCATAGTGTTTTTTCACCAAATCATTGCTCATCGCCCGGAGTAAGTAGTAATCAAAAGGTTCAAGATTAGAGCTATGTGCTGGATGGGCTATCACCTCCCATCTAAGCGAGTTTAGTTTAGAACGAGTCATCTTCGAAACATGCTGTCTAGCTTATCATGTTGAAGAATGACTTTCTCTTTGGAGTCTTTTCTATGGCAAAGATTTGGCTGACATGCCAAGTTGCTCCGAGTATTTGATTAAGTTGAGTGTTGAGTTGCTATCCAAATGCTCCGAGCAGATAGGCTCTTCCAAATCCCAGAACACCGAGAGCAAACTTCTTCTCATGCAGATTTGGCTTGACGTCGTGTTCGAGCTTTTCCCCCTCAGCAACCAATTGGCGCCATCTCCGTAAGTTGACAGTTAGAATCCATTTTCATCCCCCGTCACAATACGGAGTAAATTTGCGCTCGTATCAAGGAAGATGAGCGGCACTTTCTGACATGTTGCCATTTCTGGATGTCCGTTAAATTATGTGGAATCCAAGTTCCTAATACGGTTTAAACCCAAGTGTATGCAATGTTCGAGTATTATTGTATGATTAACTGTCAACTCTTCTGCTATTTCGTGACAAGAAAGCTTTTTGTCGGTTTGAAAAATTTCGAGCAACTTGGCATTATCCAGCTAGACTACTGAATGACCCCTCGTTCGTCTTTGAAGATTAATCCCCAGAACGGAATTTTAAAAACCAGTTTGCACATGTCCGTAGTGGAGCTGATCCTTCCACATAAGCATTCTCAATGTTAGTTGAACACTAGAGGCCCTTTTCTCCTTGTAGAAATTCGTACTACATAACGAATCGCAGATCTCCAGGCGGTGGATTTTCAATAGCTAGAACAAAGTAAAGTAAAATTTCAAAAACCAAATATGTCAAAAATGAAAGTTTATTGTTTTTGCAAGAGTGAATGTTCACTTACCTCTTTTCCACAAACTCCCTCATATTTGTTTACATCTCTGGAATTTAATTTATTCTTGCCCTGCTCACCGCCCTCTCTATTTGTTATCAAGCAAAAAATCTGAGTCACTTATCTTTTCCCTTCTTTTCCCTATCGATTCAAAATCGACTTTGACTCATAGTTCGATCAAACAGCTAAAATTTATTCAAGAACTTTGTCTTTGTTTTCTTATAAACCATTTCCTCTACGTTATTATCTTGTCATGGTTTCCCATTTCCCTATTTTGAAGCTTCCCAAAAAATTATTGGAGCGCACTTTTGCGTCAATTGAGCCTAGAAGCGGCATCAATATGAAAACAAATCGAATGATGAGGGAATTCTTCTTACGAAATGGACTTTTCAAGTTGAAAAACAATAATTTGAGGTTTGTTTTCCTTCGAAAGCGCTCAAATAACAACAAGACAAGACAACAACAACAAGAACAAGAACAACAAGAACAACAACAGATTTTCTACAATGTTTGCCTTCAAATAACTATGCCACACATTGAAGTGATGATTGAAATTGAGAGCGATGGAGAGAGTGGATCGATTAAAGTTCTTGATCGCTCACTCGGCACTCTGACCAAACCTCATCCCTTCCAATTGGAATCTCAGATGTGGCCACTTGTGACAAAGCTTAAGAAGAATCCTCGTTCATTCGTAATTTTTCTTTTACACCAAATCGACTTCGAAACGAAATACTGGAAACGTGCTGACGAAATTCTTCAAAAGATTTCGAAAAATTGTCAAGAAATGAGAGCTTTTGAGGAGATCAAGTTGGCTGGTGTTAGTTCTGAGGACATCGATGTGCTTAGTCGATATTTTGACCGGATCGAGTGCGAGAAGCTGCGTTTGAAGAACTTCTCTAATGACTCGGAAATCGAATATTTTCATGGAATCTCAGAGCGAATTTCTGGGAAAGAGACAATCAGAGAAAACATTCAATGAGCTCTTGCTAGGTATTTATTTTTTAAAAGCATTATCAAGTCAAATTTTAGGTCGACAGGAAGATTCGGTACATTCAAATTGTTAGCAGCGAGCCATTTTAAAAATGGAATTGCCATTATTCTTTTTGAGATTCAGAAAAAAATTTCGAAAGAGAGCTTCAAAAAAACCGAAAAAAGAGATTGCCAAATTTCGTGGATTTTCTGTTGCAAGAAAACTCTGATGCAATGTGTTTTTCATTGAACAGTTGTAGAACAGCTATAGTCTTTAGTATACTATACGCTATACTTAGTCTTTTATAAAATAACTAGAAATATTCAGCATATTTTTTCTATCTAGAGTGGTAGATTCGGGGAAAATGGTAAGAAGCTTTAGTAAACCGGGCTCTGATCTCAAGCAGGCAAAAATAAAACAAGAAAACTTCCTTACCCGATCACATGAACACAAAATAAATGAAACCGCTTACAGGAACATTCAATTTTTCGGAAAACAGATTAAAGAGGCTCTGTAGTGAAACTTTTGTTAAAATAATAATAGTTTTCTTTCGTTTTGATCAAATCTGTGCATTTTTTACAACGCTCATCGTCAAAGGTTCAATGTTTTTCTTTTCCTTGTGCGTTTCGATACAGATCGAGTGGCAATTTTTACAAAAAATGACATTAAAATAAAATGAGTGTCACCTCCGAGCCAAACTGATATTTTAGTCACTATTGTTATTATTGAATGACTTGTCTATTCTTATGTAAATGTGATCTTCCCTGTGCTTATCCCTTTCATCGCCGAGAAGGGGCGGTCCTTTGGATTGCCTAGGAAGACAAGTGAGGCTCTCACTTGGAGTCCCCCTTCCTCTTTCACTCATTTGTAATCTATTTGTCTTATCGTACTGCTGTAAATAAAGATATATATCTTCCGGGTCTATGCAACTGCAGTTCAGGTCGGTCATTTCACAGAGACTCCCCTCTAATATGTCGGAGGAGTTGAGTCGGGTTGTCGGGATGTTAGAGATGGCAGGATACCACTCTCTTTAACTTAACTCAAATTCTAGTCCATATCCGTTTCCTCCTAGAAAACGAACATGAGCTCCAATCAGCTTAAATTCTTAATCCATTCAGTCAACACTTCTGTTAACTTACTTTCCATTGTAATGGTGTACATCTAAAAGTTTGGAATTTTCACTTGTCATACATTATACTTGTTTATTTACAATAAATAAATACATAGTTAGATACAGGGAAAATTAAACGTATTTAAACGTGAGAGAACAAGAATTTTCTATGGAAACTCCTTGAAGTGGAGCCATTTTTGCAGGGCTCCAATCTCGGAGTTTTTGTAAATTTATAAAATACAATCTAGTAACTTTCAGCTGGTCACTGAAATAGGGTTACGATAGCTTTATGTATCGTAATCCTGAGCCATCAATAGCTTTGGAAAGCTACCGTATCTGGGTACCGTAGCTGGAAAGCTACCGTATCTTCAGAAAGCTTAAAACGATACCTTTTTCTCTTTCCCTTTTCGCAGTTCGCTCAAAATCGACTACCATCAGCTAAGTGTCAACAGCTGGAATTTTACAAGAATTCTTGAAAATTTCCAGCTTTTACTTGTCATCGGTTTCCTCGTAAGTAGAGAGTGTTCCGTTTTAATCTAAATATGGATGCAAGTACTTTTGACTATTGGGCTGGTGAATTGAAAACTGCCGGCTATTGTCATATGTCACAGTTTGAGCACTTTCTTCAAAAGAAACCCATTTTGGCGTCAATGGAAAAGTTGTAGAGAATCAAAAATTAAGCTTATATCCAGATTTTCAAAACGATTCAAAAACTGGTTTTCAAGAAATGCCAAATTTACGAATTTTCACTGAACTTGCATTTTAAGCGAAACTACTAAGTGTATCTTTTTGCAAATTTGGCTATAAGCCGACACTTAGCTTCAAATGACATTTCCCAAGCTCTTATTATGTTTTTGGAATCTACGCATAAAATTACCCCAGAAAAAGTGGTTTTGAAGAAAAAAAGTTACCCCCCCGCGTAGTACCCTCATCTTATATCTGTTTATTAAAAAAAAGCAACAATGATTCCTAAACAATGCGGAAAAAATTCGAATAATTTTTGACAGAAAAAAGGGAGTTGTTTGTTGCGTGAAATTCCGATGATTCAATGGAATTTCGAGGAAAAAAAAGCGATAAGAGAGGCATTTTTGATTTCCGATTATCAAGTTCGTTATTTTGGAAATGTTTTTCAGGCGTCATTTCTATTTGTCACTTATTTAGGAAACTTAAATCGGAATCTCGAATTGTAAACAGCTAACTTCAATTGATATCACTCTTGTTTCAGTGAATCGTTGATTTTGTCAACTATCGTTGATCTTGTCGATTACTATTTCAAAATAAAACTACCCAGTTTTTCTATTCTATACACTTGTATGGAATCAGTTTTTTTGACATTTAACATATTTTAAAATATTCCAGAATCAATTCCCTCATTGAAAACTCCCAAAATGCGCTCAAGCGAACTTTGTCCCAACTCGCCGAACATCACCGTCATTGATTCGGCCCGTGTCGCCTATTCGACGATTCTCGGATTGACCACTCTATTCGGTTTCATCTACAATGTTCTCCTTGTTATCGCTGTTTTCCTAAACCGGAAAACTTTCTTCCGAAACTCGGTCTATCAGCTGATCTTCTCAATGTCAATCATTTGCTCAATCTATTTCTTTGCCAACTTTCTGGTGGCTATTCCAGGTAAACATGGCATCGGATGGATCTGATAAGCTTTGTCGGATTGAATCGGATCGGATATTATCCGATGGGGAGGGGTCACCGAATCGAATCCTATCGGATAGAGGGGTCTATCGGATCAGCTCAGATTGGATACTGTCCGATGGTGGTGTCTTTGGATAAAAGCTTATCGGATACCATGTCAGGTCGACTTTTCATGTGTTTTTAGAATTTTAGTTCTCATCGATTCGTACGAATATTTGGAATCACCAATCACAATGAAATATCTCTCAAGTCTGAATACTTTTGGGCACTACACAGAGCAATTGATTCTGCTGGTCATCTCGCTGAATCGCTTTTTGCTTGTCAGCACATCTTTGAAGAGAAATGAGATGAGAAGAGTATTTGTAAGTGTTTTAAAGAGAATTCTATGGTTTGCAAATCAAAATAATGCTTCAACTTGTTACATGAAATAATCGATTTGCTCTGTTAAAAGTTTAAGAATTGGTTGGAAATAAATTGACTACGAGTTTACAGACTGTTTACAGACTGTTTACAGATGTTTACAGACTGTTTACAGACTGCTTACAGATGTTTACAGACTTCTATTATGCTTGAAAGTTTTACAAAAAGTTTAAAGAATGAGAATTTTTATATTAAAAATAATTCAATGGCTAAAAATTGATTACAGTTTAAATTTAGAGTTTTGAAACAAATAAACTTGTTACATGCCGGTATTACTAGGTTGATGCGAAAGAAATTTCGGTCGATATAAATTGTTCTATTTTTTAAAATTTGAAAATCTTATTTTATTTTTTATACTTGTACTCTTGGATATTTGCTTTATTTTTACGCTTTTTCTAAGCCAAAGCTTTCACCATTTTTAATTGATATTTGCTTTAGATCATGTGGATCAAAAAGTGTCTCCTCTACGATTTCAAGCTGGGCAAAAACGCTGCCGAATCACATCGTGATCTCTCTGTTCCGCTTTTGGAGAACAAGTTATGACTGAAAGACCCTGCCAGCTCTGGTTTGCCCGATTCCGAGAAGGTATTGAATCTCTTGAAGACGAACCACATGGGCATCGCTCGGCAGCGATCGATAATAAGAGTTGGAACAACTTATTAAAGCCGATCCAATGCAAACAACACGAGAGCTTGCCAAACATCTCCATGTTTGTTTTATAATTTTGCTTTTTTAATGGTTGCGGTACTTTGCCCACGCTTTAGCGCGCAGAAAGTTGAAAAACGCTACTTTAGCGTTCAAAAGGCATCAACTTTTCACAGATTCACCCAATTGATCTCGTTTTGGTGTCAAAATGTGCACAAGACCCTTGAGCATAAAATTTGGTATATGACGCTCACCAAAATTTTCTTATCGCCGAGAACCAGCCTGTAAAAGAGAGGCAATTTTAACGTTTATATGAAAAAAAGTGATTTTTTCGATTTAAAAAATCTGTAAGACGGATTCGAAAAATTCTTCCAAATTCAGGACATTTTTTCGCATCAAATAGCACTTACCGTGAGCAAATTTAACGGCGATCGCATTTTTCGCCTTACTTCGCGCAGACGTGCGATGGGTTCCACATCAATTGAGTCCCGAGAATCTGGGAGCACGCGGTTCGATCAGCCATATCTTGCTTCTCAAGAAACCATTTTTTTAAGAATATCTTGACGATGGACGAAAAGTGGATTCACTTCGATAACACTTATCCAAAAGTCAATGGCTTATCAGGGGTCAAATGCCAATTCCAACTCCAAAGCCGGATTATCATGGGCACAAAGTAGTGTTGTCTTGCTGGTGGAATATCAATGGGCTTGTTTATTTTGAATTATTAGAGCCCAGAAAAACAGTTTATTTACCTTGTTTTATTCAGCAGTTCAAGAAGGTTGACAAAATTTTGCGTCAAAAGGGTTTAAATCCCTCGACTGTCAATTTTCTCCGTGACAACGCGTCAGCTCACACAGTATGCTTCTTGTATGAAATTAGGGAAACTAGGATGGAAGGTCTAACCGCATACGCCATTTAGTCCAGAATTATCACCATCTAATTTTCACCTCTTCAGATCGATGCAACATTTCCTTGCGAATTGCCAGTTTAAGAATGCGCAAGAGGTCGAGATTTGGGTGACCGACTACTTTCAATCATAGAATCAAGAGTTCTTCGATAAGGGGATCCGCAATCTGAAGCAACGTTGGAGAGATGTTATAGATAACGATGATGCGTATTTTTTTGGAATAAATTGTTACCTAAAGGAATATTGATTAAATTTAATGTTTGTAAAAAA